TACTTTTTTTTTTTTTTGTTTTTTTTTTTTTTTTTATTAAAATGTCTTGTTTTTATTTGAGGTTTGATGTTTTTTGTGTAGTTCAGTCTTTACCTATGTTTGTGTCAATATGTTAACTTTTGTATTTAATCCATTGTTTGGCAAAATTTTTCACCCACTAAATATTGTTGCATTCACCAACTTCATCTGCTGTGGCCATGCTACAAGTACATTCGTTTTTGTTTTTTACTTACTGTGTATATATAGTGAAAGAAGCCAAAAATTGTTATATATTTTTTTTCAGGCATCCTTTAAAGTGTTCATGAGCCACAGCAGGAAGGTTTTTGGGGGGATTTTTTTTTTTGTTTGTTTGTCCTTACATTGGACAAGCAATAGTTTAATTTCTTGATATTGGCATGTGATGAGAGAGAACTGTGCTGCAAGCAGAAATCCTCAGGGGATGGTTAAATGCTGTTTAAATCTGAAGATTACAATCTTGGCAGGTACAAGGCTTATTTGGAATGTTCATTTATACTTTGGCCTTGCTTACCCTATCAAAGAACCTCACAAAATACTTTGCTTAGGCAGTCATTAATGGTATTATGTCCACATCTTTCAAATGGGCTAAAGTTCAACTTCAGCCAAACCTATTTTTTTTTTCTATTTTTGGTTAGAGTGGTAAAGAGTTAGAACTTCTATCAGGTATTTATTGCCATTTGTGTCTCCACTGGAGAGGTCTAATATGAGTATTTGTCTTGATGATTTTTGCCTTTCATCAGTACTCTGTTCCATTGACAGAGTTTTACAGTTGTCTCCGACACAGACGTAGAAAAGTTATAATCCAATGGAGACAACTGTCGGAATTTCTCCTCATATTGAGAAGACATGCTTCCACTTTTGTCATGTTGTGTGGGAGATAAATTAAAGGAAATGCTCTCTGATGGGGACACAGAAAGAAATGCAATCCTGACAGAGCTTTAAACTCTTTCCCACACTAGCCCTGCTATTAAAAAAAAAAAAAGTCTTTGGAGTTCTACCTTTAATAAGGAGATATATATATATATAAGAGAATTTTAATGTTAGCTTCCACTGGTAATCCGGTTGACTGTCTTTGACAAACAGGTAAAATGGGCCAGCCATTCTGTGTCCACCCTCCCATCTGATAATGTGGTGTAAATTATGCATTGAACATGGGGGTCTCCTAAACTTTCAATCACTGTACATATTGTTGAAATTTGTTTATTACTTATGTATAAATAAACTGTGTGAGACAGATAAGTGGAGTTGTAGCATTTTTACCTATTATACTGCAAACAGTAAAAGGTTTTTTTTTGCATATGCATGCAGTTTACACAGTTAAGACTCCTTTTTTTTTACTGGCCACATTTATAATTAATGCAGCACTGGGTAGGTAACCTGTACTGAAGATGGAAAACAAAGCTACTTACGGGATACTACACACAATAATGTTGCAGACTGTACTTTTTATCTTATGCATCTCTCTGCAGAGGACTCAGAACCCCATGGATGTTTCTATGCAAATATAATCTTTTTGAAACCTCTTGCTGTTACACTGGCACCATGATTTTTTCAGTGGAAGTGGCAGTGGCAGTATCTTATATCGATCTATATACCCCTAAAATTTGGGTTCTGAGGGGCCTGCAACACTTTGCAGAAGAACCCTTTAGCTAAGGGTACTGTCTGGTCCCTTACAGTACCTGTTTTCCAGGTAATAGCAGACCGATCAACTTTCTACAGAGTACAGATTTGCCTTACGTTTGGATTTTTCTTTTGTTTTTTATGGAGTCAGGAGCGGTTAAAATCCTTGTCTGTTTTCTGCTGTGGACACAGCTTTGGCGGTGCAAAAAGGATATGGAAGCTCCCCAAGCTGAGGATAATTTCTAGTTGTGACATGACTCTTTGCCCTCATTGGAAGTTTTTACCTCATGACAATTCTAACATTTTGGATTCTGTCTTGGTGACTAGTCACCAGGACAATTAGAGGGACACAGACTGCAGTAAAAACTTGGCAGAGGATCTAACTCTTCCCTACTCCATACAAAAAAAAATGCTTTTACTTACACTTATAGTTTGGCCCAGTATGAAGTAATTGGGTCTTGCTGGGACTGGGTTTTAAAGATTAATTACATGTGCTGAAAAGTGCAAAATACACACTATAATGAGCAATCCATTATAAAATCTGTCATTTTGAGGAAGGCCACAGTGTCACAAAGAAAAATGTAGGAACTTGTTTTTATTCTAAATTCACTTTGCTATTGTTAAGTAATCAGCAGTGGAAGCTGAAGTTTCATAAAAGTATTCCACAAGCAGTGAGAAACTAGAATGAGTTTGGTGTATGGGATACAACCTACCCCTTTAAATAATAAAACTCAATAAAAATAATATACCACACTATACCTCCTTCCCGTCTAATGCATCTACATGGTACTTGCAGCATGACATACAGGGTTGAAGAGCTATCCCACAACAACTTAGCCTAAAATATCGAAAAAAATACCCTTAACACTAAAGGGTCCATAAAATAGGTCTTTTGCGATCAGATGATGCACTAGATCTCTTAAGTCCTACATACAAGTGGAAACAGGAACTCAATGGTTGCACAAACAATTATTTTGCAATATGAACACCATGTATATAAACCTAGATCTCTAAAGCATTATGCGCAAGTAGATTGAAATATCTGACCTTCATATCGGAAGGTTCATGTTTCACTTGTTATGAAAACTGCTTCTAACAATACCAGCTGTTTGGTCTGCTGCTAGCAACTACATGTTCTACTTTCTTGTGGGCACTGTCTCAAGAATCCATGTTCCAATTCATCTACTTGTGCATCATGCTTTAGTGCATGCTTATATTGAAGGTGGTAGCTTAGTAGACACGTGCCCTGGGAACTAGTCACATGGTCATCGGAGAACCAGTGCTGTGAAGACACTAAAACATCTTGTTGCAGTCAGCAAATGAAACTGTCTGTATGAAGAACGTAGGTTTCCTAACAAGTGGAACTAAATGTTTGGTGTGTGTGCGTGCACCTAGGCACTCCTGTGTCCTACAACCTCATAGCTGTAAATCTGAAGTGCAAGATCTAAGGCACGGCTGCCTCTGCTTGCTAGTCTCAGGAGATTTGGAGTGAGATTATTACTGTCCTGCTTGCTGTTTTTCCCCTTTGCAGGAGGCTCTGACATAAGTAAGCAAAGTCCTGCATGTACCACGATACGTGCCTCCACACAGAGAGCGATGTAGAACAAGGCATGGTAAAATGGCCATGAGTAAATTGGAAACTTTCAGCTGCGGGAATTGCGCAGGCAATACAGCTTCCAGAGTTGTGTTCCACTTTAAGGTGGAAGACACCAGCACTTTCTCTAAATGCTCTCTCATCATTCTGGGTTCACACAAGCTGAAATATTCTGGCAGGATCTTCCTTTATCGGCTGATTGATGATCCACAGTTTAGAGAGTGGAAGCAGCCTGGACTGCCTCTACCTTCCTAAGTAGTTTCCAAGTTTATTCCATCAACAAGGTGACCATGATTTCTGTTAAGGATTTGGTGTCTAAACTAATCCTTTCTATTCCTCATTCTGTGCCCACACTAGTTTTTTTCCTAAACAGTGTCCTATTGGGATATCAACCTGCATCAGGAGCTTGTTTCGGAATGTTCCCCCCATCTGGTCCAACTAACCGATCTCATTGTGCAGGCAGTCAAGTTTAACTGTGATGCCTCCAATAAAGTAGGGGGGGGGG